GCCTGTGTTTCAGACACAAAGTCTGAGACCAAGAGTCCTTGATGGGGACTGAAACCTACTTAAACAAGCAAAAAGAAATTTGCCTAGGGTAGGATGGCGAACTCCCTAGTCTTTCCCAAATTGTCTTGCTTTAACTAAACCCTGAACTCAGAAACTTCAAACTACAAGGAGTTACCTATTGGAAGGTGTGAGGAGGTCCACGAGAAGGGATGGAATGACCAAGCAGCAAGGACCAGGAAGCCAGGTTATTTATGTTTGGTTGGTACCACAGCGACACCTAGTGAGCTCAATTTTAATTGTAATTATAACATCTTTTCAGACCCTATAAGTAGCATTAGAGAAATCACTTGATAAAATGCTAATTCTGTCATAGTTCAGAGTTGCAAGTGATGCCAGGAATTATCTTTGTGTCTTTGATGATTACAGAGGACTATGGTTGCTTTTAGAAACCCTCTTTACTGGGAAGACAAAGTGAATAACGGCTTTAGTTTATCTTTAAGCTAACTTCCAGGACTATCAAGTGTCAAGTCAATGACTTGGCCACTGCAGATAGAAAGACAAAGCCCTCTAGAGACCAGGAGGCTTTGGAAAGAACATGCAAGGCTATTTCATCTGAGCAGACGCGCTCTAGGAAAAGCTGACCAGTGGCAGGGTGAGGTCAGAGAAGTTTGGAAAGAGTAGAAATGTGACCCAAACTCCAAGCATTACATGGATGCAAATGGCAAGGATTCAGTTTGGGAAACGGTAGTATCACAGTCTGCTCAATATCTAAGGAGAGAGTTCTGCCAGGCATTTTGAAACAAAAGCCTAGGAGTTCAATGGCATTCTTAGGTAAAGACAAGCAACCATTGCACAAACATCTGCCAGTCCAGTATGGTGCTTTCTCATTTGAAGGGCCCACCATATGGCTCCCAAATGAATCAGACACAGAGGCTTATTCTTAGTTATTAATGCCCGACTTTAGCAGCTCTTCTTAAATTATCCCGTCTGCCTTTTGCCTCTGGGCTTTTCCTGTTCTCTTCCTTCTGTAAATCTTACTCTTAATCTGTAGATTGTTGTGTGGCTGACCCTGACCTTGTTCTCTTGCTGCTCTCTCCTTCCTGTTTTCTTTCTCTTTACCCTCTCTGCATGCCAGCCCTGCCTATCCTTGCCTCTGCCTCGGACTGAATGTTCAGCTCTTTATTGGGACCGTCAGGTGTTTTAGGCAAAAAAAAAAAAAAAAAAAAAAAAAAAAAAAATCACAGCTTCACAGAGTTAAACAAATGCAGCATAAACAAAAGTCACACACCTGAAAACAATATTCCACCACACTCTTCCAACCTTTATGGGCACCAGGCAGGCATGTAGTGTAGACACGTGCAGGCAGAACACCCATAAACATAAAATAGTTTTAAAATGGTAACACCAGTGAGAAACTTCACATGCAAGCTTGTGCATCCCTGATGTTCCCTCAAGCAGAAACCCTGAATCAAAGAGCCACTTGAGATAATACATACAGGCTAAAGGGGTGGGGTGGGGGTAGTGGCTTTCTGCTCCCAGGAGCCAGGCTCACAGGCTGTGGTGAAATCTAGAGTAAGTCATCCTGAGAGTGAGACACAAAAGACTGCCAACCCTGGCCATGTCCTGAATCCCTGTAGACACAAGTCAAACAGTGGCCCTGGGACTTGCCCAGCTGTGCTGTGAAGGCGTGGAGAGAAGGCATCACGTGGCACTGAAGTACCCAAGAGCCTGCACCAGAGCAGGAGAGACTGTGAGAAGCCATGCCAAGTGCTCTACCTGGGGTGCCTCTCCTGGCTCTTCTGGATACAGGACTCCAAGACGTCACAGTTACCACTTCATATCAAATGGCCAGCAAGGTACTAGTATGTGAGCCCATGTGCTTCTTATCTACACAACTTTGTGATGAGAGTACTACTACTCAGCATACAGCCCAGACAACCACAGTACCACAAAAATCACTGAATGAAGGCTGAATGTAAACTTCCCACATCCGTGTTCGGATTACCTAGTCAATATCTACAATTGGCTCCTTGGTTCTGCACTATCAGTAACTTAAAAGAAACAAGGGAAAAATACAAAAATGTATAGATTGCCTTCTATACTTAAATTGAGGGCACGAGTGCGACCAACTTGAATACAATCTAAGAAATAACCAGGTGTAGCTGATTAGCTCTTCCACACAAAGCTCAATGCTACTCCAGGCCTGTCATTTCGGCTCCCTTACACCCTTTTTCATACTAGACTGAAAAATTGCCTTGCAAAGTCCTGAGACACACAGTGATAACTTCTGATGTGGACCACTTCTTACTCTGCCCACATCATGACACAGCGGGCCCAAGCACCCTGACCATTCTTACCACATATGCTGCATATGGACTTTCCAATACAGGATTAGATACACCGGCATCTACTGTCTATGGTTTGCCTCCTTCACTGTTTTATCTCCTGTAATGATTCAATCCACAAAGATAATTTTCAAGAAAATAATATTTTATCATGTGATTGCTACTGTTGGTATTTTCTGTGGAACTCATTACCCATACATAACTTGGGTGAAGTATAGCAGCTTCAGTGGACTTTTTCAAGAAACAAATAAATGTCTAGTTATTTTAAGACAACTCAGTAAGAAACAGCAAGGAATCTTAACATACATTTGAATAGAAATGACTAGTAAACAGCCCTTCTCATTGGTCACTGCTGAGGTTAAAAAAAAAAAAGATACAAACTTAACAGTGTTAGTATTTATGCAAGCACCAGTGATACAAATATAAATTGATACCAAATATTTGAAGGGTAAATTTGTGCTACCATTTTTATTCATGATGTGCAAGGTTTTACTCTTTTGGCTTTTTGGTGGGCCCACCACCCAGCTCTCAAACCAATCACACCTGGAGGCAACAACCTTACCTTGGCATGTTTCTTCCTAGCTTTTCTTAAATTAACTGGTCTACCTTTTGCTTTTGCTTCTGGGCTTTTTCCTTTTCTTCTGTATCTCTTTCCTTCTCACTCCATGTCTGACCAGGAGGCTGACCTGATGGCCTCTTCTTGTTCTTTTCATGCTCCGCCCTTTCTTGTTTCTCTTTATATTCTCTGCCTGCCTGCCAGCTCCACCTATCCTTGCTCCCGCCTCACTATTGGCTGGCTGTTCAGCTCCTTATTAGCCCATCAGGCAAGGAATCACAGCTTCACAGAGTTAAGCAAATACAGTATAACAAAAGTCACACACCTTAAAATAATATTCTAACACATATTTATCTATTTTTTGGGTTTTTTTTTTTTGAGACAGATATTCCTGCTTGTCCTGTAACTCACTCTGTAGACCAGCCTGGCCTCAAACTCAGAGAACCACCTGCCTCTGCTTCCTGAGTGCTGGGATTAAGGATATGCACCACCACTGCCTGGCTGTGCTACTTATTAAATGCCTAGGCCCTATAACTCATAATGTCACTTCTAGAAATCTAATAGAACTATGCTGTTCAACTCAAGAAACACTACATGTAACCATTTAAACAAATTAAAGTTAAATTTCAAATTCAGCTATTTAGTTGTCCTTGTATGAAAAGTACTTAATAGCCATATGTAATATACAAATAAACCATATTTATCATTATGGAAGGTTCTGCGTGGCAATACTACTTTGGAAATATCCAGAAAAAAATGAATGGCATTCAGTGTTTCACTGGTCATAATGCAAAAACTAATACAACTCAAAACAGAGTTTAAGTATGTCATATTCATAGTAATTCATGAACATAAAAAAAATTAGATGAATACTGCAATATGCAGTGTTACTGAGCATGTTGGGAAATGGACATTCAAACATCAGCAGAAATATAAATAAACAGAAAGAGGAATCACATGTTAAGTCTAGATGTATACTCCAAGGCCAGTGAGAAGGTTCAGGGAGTAAAGGTGCCTGACACCAAGCCTGATGACCAGAGTTTAAGCTCCAAGACCCACTTGGTAGAAAGAAAACCAACTCTCACAAGTTGTCCTTCACCATACACTGTGGCACACTTATAAACACATGCATTCACACACAAAGTGGGTGTGGTGGTTAGAATGAGAATGGCCTCCGTGGGCTTGTGTTTGAATGCTTGATCTCCAGCTTGTGGAAGTGTTTGGGAAGGATTGGCTATCACTGGGAGTGGGCTTTGAGATTTCAAATCCCCACTATGTCTCTCTCTGCTTCCCACTTGCAAGATGTGCTCAAGGCTGTTCCCGCCACCATGCTTTGCTCCACCATTATGGACTCTGACCCTCTGAGATATAAGCTTTCTTTTAGAAGTCGCCTCGGTCAAGGTGTTTTGTCACAGCAACAGACTAGGACAGTAAATACATTTTAATTTTTAAAAAGAAAAAAAACTAGTATACTCTAAAAGGAGGTAATTTATTAACTTATAAATGGACACCTACGAGATCTCTTAAAATGCTAACATCTGCAGGAATGTGTATGAAACTGCTAGCAGCCCTGAAAGGCAGGGTTGTGAGGAATGGGAACTTCTACTTTCAATAGAACTCTAGGCAATCTGCAGTTGTTGCAAGTAGTTAGCATATATTACTTTTGTATTAGAAGAAAGGGGTTCTGCTCACAGATGTCTGTAAGCCCTTGAGTATTAAGTCTACCTGTACCCTTCCAAAACTGCTCCTTCTGCAGCTGTGTTATCAGACCTAGTACTCAAAAACCCATTATTATAATTTTTTTCTTTTTTCTTAAGTCCTGGGGGAGTCAGGTAGCCCTGTCCCACTGCAGTCGCCCCTATTCATTCTCTTCCCCCACTATGTCCTCGCAGCTTCAGGACATGGTAGGACAGGAAGCTAGCTCCTTGACAGCTGTGCTTCTCCACAGCAGAAAAAAACACACTGCTTGCTCTTTTGTGGGTGGAGGGAACTGGAAGTCAAAGGAAGAGGTGAAAACACGTATGTTTTAGACACAGCACTTTATACTTAACTCCATTTTCAAAAACAAACCAACCACTACTAATAAATCAGATGAGCAATTATGTTCCAAATGTGATGGGTTTATTTCACTCTGATGCAAAACCAAAGACTTCACTACAGCAGAGGCTGATACAACAAAAGTCATGGAAAAGTGGAGTGGGACATGCAGGACGTGATGTACAAACTGGGGTGTCAGATCATTTTAACAGGACACTACGTTGTTGCTGAGGAACATATTTAAATTAACACTGCAGAACTCAACTGAAATGTGGCACAAACATGACAATCTCCAGGCATGCCTTCAAGGACCTCTCCTAGGATGGATTTGTAATCTCTAGATTTCAGTGTGGGAAGGATTACAATTCTTTGGAAGAATAAAAAGTTCACACTTTTGAAATTTCACAGAATTTTAAGGCCAAAACATAGTGGGTTCATTTCTCTTCACTTCCAGGGACAAATGATGTTCTACTTAAAACCACACTAAGCTTCCAGTTCAAATCCCAATCCAACCTTGTGACCTCCTGCACTGAAGTTCTTTCCATCTATTAAAGCTGACAGGGTCAATTTGACTCCTAGAAAGAAGAAAACACCACATTACTTGCAGTCACTATGGTACTTAGACCTAAATTTTCTAGAAATAATGGATCTGAGTCAATGGCATGGAGTGTAGGTAGGCCCAAGCTATGTTACACTTGCACGGGTTGTCTACTCTGTTGACCTGTGCTGAACAGAGCATAAGGAAGAAAAACTATTAGGAATTCAAGAGTAAGAATAATGTAGGTATGTGACGGGGACTAGAGAGATAGCTCAGTGGTTTAAAACACTGACTGCTCTTACAGAGGACCCAGGTTTGATTCCCAGCACCCACATGGCAGCTCCTAATTGTCTAACTACAGGATTCAACAGTCTCACAAAGACATACATACAGACAAAGCACCAATATAAACAAACAAACAAACAAATAAATAAATAAGAGACTAGTAAGGGATAAGCCACATGTAAAGGCCAATGACTAAAGCGTAATAAGAAATGTAAAACAGAAGCACTTGCTCCACTGTCCTGGGTCTGCATGACTGACTAGCTGTCACAGAAGGCCTGAGTCAACCCTCCCAGAGACTCATCTTTTCTCTTTTTGTATTCATTTTCTTCTTGTAACTTTCTACTCTGACCCTCCATTGATTTCATTCTTTTTACATACCTGGTCGCAGGGACTGCGTATAACCCAGTCCAATTAAACTGGCATTGTTTACTTTGGCCTACAATTAAGAGAGGAAAACAGAAGCCATTAGAAAACAACTTCACATCTTTCCAATGCAAAAACTGCTTCATGCACAAGGTTTCTAAAGGCAAATGCACACTGCAGCTTATTCTAGAATTATTAAAACTGAAAAAAAAAAAAAAACAGAAATTGGGCGATATGAAAATGTATGCTTTAAAATTCTTAAACAGATTTTCAAGCACACTATATGTTGGTACCAATCATCTCTTGTTTTGATAGTCTCACTACATACTACATAGCCCTGACTATCTTGGAACTCAGTACAAAGACCAGGCTGTCTTTGAAATCACAGATATCTGCCAGCCTCTGCCTCCCAAGTGCTGGGATTAAAGGCGTGCAGCATCATGACTAGCCTGTACTGAACTCTTCAAGATGCCAATTTCCAACCTATGCCAGTGATTACAACATGAACTCAGCTGTCATAAAACCAGATCTAAATTCATATTTTGACACTGCTGTTTACTGATCTAGTTTCTAGGTCATCTGTAAAACAGGGATGAGGCTATCTCTCTTCACACACAGAAGAGTTAGAAGAATTACATGGGATACTACAAGAGTCTTAGGAGCAGCACTCAAGAAAGAATACCAAGGCCACAGGTCCAACAACAGCAAATAGGGGAGAAATTAAACCAGAATCCACATCTCTTGCTTTAGATGTAATGATCTTTTCAGTACATGAGTGAGGCCATGAAGTAAATAAAGAACATGCAAACTGTAACGACACTACAGCACTTGTTTACAGCTGGGAGCCAGTCCCACCACAATCCTTACAGATAGAGAAGTTCTACAATCCAGCTTATATTTAGCAGCGATGCCAAAACGAGTGTTGTTGCTGCCAGCTGTCCACGCCAGGTTTATTGATGTTTCAATCTTCTCATTAACTTTCTGATAGATTGAGCCTCCAAATTCAGTACCGTCATTCCTGTTTCACATTGTAAATACAAAAAAAAAAAAAAAAAAAAAAAAAGAAAAAGAAAAGTAAAATGTCATAAAGTTTAAAACATTTACTGTTAAGACATGGAAACAAATTTACAACTATCTAAACAGAGATTCAACTATGCAACTTTGGAGTCTAGCAAAATTCTAATACAAATGACTATTAAACAAGAAACAAATACAACCTACAAAATGGCCATGAACCTAATTAAAGCCCAGTAGCACCTCATTCATCTACTTGACTCTTCTACATAATATAAATTTCCTAAGACACAATTCACCTATGTTCAAAAGCAGACACCTTAGGTAAGTACATAATCTATAGTTATCTTTCATAGAGTTTAGGAGCTATAACCTATAGTCTCTCTTTTATAGACTTTAGGTCCACAAAGACTTTGGAACAAATACAATACTAGCTTTTACTTACTATACACCCAGAGTGAGAAAACACATTCCACACAATACTAGGAGCACTCTTTCAGATATAAACCCATGGCTCTTTGAAGCATACCATGGCTTCCTAACAACAGTGTTTCAACACCATTGTCTATATAAGAGTATCCCAAGAAGATCAATACCTCAGAAACACACAGCTCAGTCATGCCTATAATCCCAGCACTGGAAGGTAAACACAGTAGGAGATAAGGAGTTGAAGATCAGCCAAGGCTACACAGTGAGTTCAAGGCTAGGCTGATTTACATGAGATCTGTCTTACAACACCAAAAATCTAAATCCAGGATTACTTTGATATCCCTATTATTTCTGAATGTAATAGAGAGAATAACAGGTTCTGACCAAAGACACATGAAAATCTCCATACAGAATTACCAAAGAAATTCAAGGACACTCAAATTATTTGGTGGTTATTCTTAAGTGTTCCAAATATCTGCTTCCAGACGCAGTCAAAATAAGTCAAAAGTAACAGTGTACACATGCTCTGAGCTGCCTCCATTCAGTGGTTCTTTTACAGATTCTAAAACATCCTGAAGTTTGGGGTAAGAGCTGACAGCAGCAACTAAGAGCAGCACAGCACGATAGACTCAGCTGTGAACTTCCTCACAGTGACTGCACCGCTAACTATGAAAATGTATGGCAGGACTGGTATCCACCAAGCAATAGTAACATCCAGTCACTTTTCACCGTCTTACCATGTAACAACTACCACCTCTCAGAGGAACAGCACTAACACAAAAGTCAGTTATAAACACTCACACATGAGTATGTAGTTGGAAGTCTGCAGCCTTGTAACCAAGAGCAAAATTATTCTGAGACAGTTTGGATTTGGCTGTGTCAAAACTCATCTGATAGCCAGCAAGCCAACCTTCAAAGGCCAACACAGCCCAGCCATAGATGGTCGGTCCAGAAAAATCTATATCAACGTTACTGCCGAGACTAAAGCAATCCCGTCTAAATGAGGCCTTTAATTTCCCGCTCTTCTTTCTGTAAAAAACAATACAATGAAAACAATGTGAGTCTGCTATTTCCAGTGATCTGTAAAGTTAAGACCCCCTCCAAAAGTATTCCAATGACTTAGCTCTACAAATATGACTCTGTTAAGATTAAACTATATGTCAACAGTTATGGTCGTACACACCTTTAATACTGGCGCCTGGGAGATAGAGGCAGGTGGACCTCTCTGAGTTCCATGACAGCCAAGGCTACACAAAGAATGTATGTATGAATGTATATATGTGTGTATGTATGTATATGTATACATATATGTATAAAAAAAGTATATGTCATTATATTCTTCACCATTAGTTGAACTAAGTATTTTATGATTAATCTCATAAAGGCATGAATAAATCACCTGTTAACAGAAATTGTTTTGAAAAATGATAAATGTTTGATTAGATAGATACACTTACCCTATATGATTATATAATGTGTATACATATTCAAACACTACATATTACTCCACAGATATATACATTTTGTCATGTAACGTTCATTAGTAAGATATTGCACTGCCAAACTAAGAACCTTAAGATATATAAATATACACAGAAATATCTTTAAATATTTTCAAGTGCTACAAAAGTAACATCAAAACACATTACTAAACTATTAGGAGAATACACTTTTTGTTGTTTGTTTTAGACAAGGTCTCAATAAGTAGCTTTTGTTAGCCTGGAACTTGTGGAGAGCCACCTGCCTGTCTCCAGAATGCTGGGATTAAAAGTGTGTACCAACACATCCAGCAGAAATATACTTTGAATAGCAATGCTGACTATTCAGAATTAGTTCTGAATAACCTTTGTTTATTAGTTCCAAATAATCCTCACATGGCTTTTAAGAGAATATGTGTTCTAAAATAATTAAAGCATGAGACAAGAAAGACAGTCCCATTGTTGTGTCTAAGAACAAATTCCTCTTTGCATTTATCTAGCATCTCTGCCTTCAGATAGCAGAAACTAGGTTGGGCAGATAAATGACACAATGGGAAAACAGACTAAGCCTAGAGGACTTTCAGGGCTTAGAAATTAGAAATTAGAAAATAGAAGCACAACCACTCACCCTGGTCCCTTACAATCAGTAGATTATACTCTTGCAATGCCCATTAGTCTTCAGAATAAATAAACTATGGTCTGAGCCCTTCTAACTCCTAAGCTAGATGTGCCTGTTCACATTTTTATACTGGCAATGTGATGCTGCCTGAGGAGCTCTGTCTTTAAAGATATACAAGTATTTTAGCATTGCTAAAACAAGTTCCCAGGTTCTTCCTGCCCCTACAGTTTCCATTTTACATTTCCAAGTTAAAGCTCTAGGCCTCCAAAAAGAAATCAAATAAAAATGGGTTTGGATAATTACCCTGTGTTTGGTACAAATATGGTATCAAGAGTCAGTTTCAACCCTTCCGCCAACTGTAAAACAAAAAGTTGTCAATTAATAATTAATTTTCTATTCTTTAAGTCAAAAAAGCCAATTCTAAAGTGTCTTCCCACTTTCTCTTTAATAATGAAGTCATTAAAGAAAGCCAGAGAGTAAATTATATAATAAATAACTTCCTCCATCTTTTCTTTTTTTTTTCCAAGACAGACTTTCTCTGTGTAGCCCTGGCTGTCCTGGAACTCCTTCTATAGAGACCAGGTTAGCCTTGAACTCAAGAGATCCACTTGCTTCTCACCACTCAGTGCTGGGATTAAAGGCATGCGTTACCAACTCTCCCATCTTTCTTCATCCCCCTAACACCCTCCTCAAACACTCCCTTCCTCTTGGCTCTCTTATCAAAACATAAATTAAGCTGGCTATGTCCCTGTAATCCAAGCTACTCAGGAGGCCAAGGTAGAAAACCTTAAGCACAAAAATTTACAATCAGCCTGAGTGACATAATAAGGACCCCATCTCAAAAACTTTAAAAAGGTGCCAGATGTGGTGGCAAACACCTTTAATCCCAGCACTTGGGAGGCAGAGGCAGGTGGATCTCTGTGAGTTTGAGGCCCCCTGGTCTATAGAGTGAGTTCCAGGACTGCCAGGACTACACAGAGAAACTCTGTCTCAAAACAACAACAAACAAAAACAAAAATTTTAAAAGGTTAAAAGTATAGGACAAATCCTAATACATTAAAAAATTGTCAAAAAGTATTTACTCCAATGTAACAAATTAATCTTGCTAATTCTCTTGAAATAATTGTAAGATAACCTGACATTAACAAACAAACAAACAAACAAACAAAAAACACCAACTTTATCAGCTGAACCATATGTGCCAATATACATAGGTGTACCTTGAAAGCTCAGGTGGGCGTGGTAGCACACTAATATAATTCCTGCACAGGTAGGAAAATCAGGAGTTCAAGGTCAACTTCAGCTACAAAGAAAGTCTGAGGTGGCCTAGACTACATAATATTCATTCTCCAAAAGAAAATGTAGTGCCCTGTACAAATGGGTATCTAACAAAAATCAACTACTTGTTTTCTCCTTAAAAACATTTAAAAACTAGAAACATTTCTGTGCAGCTAATTTTGCAAAGACTACAAAGAGGATCTGTACTACTCAGGAGAGGATTGACTGTGTGACACAATTAACTAATCAGAACACAGACACAGTGCAGATTTCCAGAAATGTTAAGACAAGCCAAGAAAATAAAGAGAAAATATGGTAGATGACATTGTAAAAATTCCACTCAGATTGTATTTGGAGTTTGTCCAACTTTTTAAAGATTTATTTATTTTTAACCATGTATATTAATGTGTGCTTGTGTAGGAGTACATACACACAGGCACAGGTGCTTGTGGGGCCAGAGGTATTAGATCCCCTGGAGCTGGAGTTATAGGTAAGTTGTGAGCCACCTGACAAGGCTCTGGGAACTGAACTCACGTCCTCTGTAAGAGCAGTAGGTGCTCTTAACAGCTAAGCCATCTCTCTAGCCCCAGTTAAGCTCCTTATTTGATGTGAAAGAGATATTAAACCTACAAATATTGTCAACTGCTTTTTCTTACCTTATTCTCCCAAGAGATTTCTGTCCCAAGAGTATTGTCTGTGTTCCACTTTTGGGTAAAGGTGAGTCCATAGTCACAGACCTTATACTTGGTCTCTAGGTTGCCTGATGCTTTCCCTGTATCAGTATAAGCATGACCTGAAGTAGAAAATTCCTGGTAAAGAAGAGAACGTAATTATTTTAAGATGACCTCATCAAATAGAAACCATTCATTTCATAAAACAGTGTTCAATGCACCAGAAACCAATACAATTTACTTTTTACCACAACCCTACCCTTCAACAATGTACCTCCTCCTCTCCTTTGTTTCTAACCAGGTTTAGAACTTTCTATTATTCCTTCCTTCTTACTGATATTCATTAGTCCATACGTCCTTTTTTAATGGCTATATTAAATTCTTAACTTTAAAAGAAAAAAATCTCTGCTGGAAGTAAATGCCTTTATTAAAAAGGCAAAAACACTGAATTTTGAAGAATTTCACTTTCATGGCCAAAGATTCTCCGTGATACTTGTCAAACAGTAAATTTAGGGTGCTTAAAAATCTGTAAACACTACCTCCCACACTCTCTTTTTATAGTCAACGTTTAGTACACTGTGACTGGGAGATGGAGGTACGGAGCGGGTGTGGAGGTAGGGGGTGAGGGTGGGAGTGTGGGAGTGTAGAGGTGGGGGTGGGAAGGGGTGCTGGGAATGGAACCCAAGGCTCTACCCACATCTCTATCACTGAACTATACCCTCAACCTATTGCTTTATTTATGATTTATTTTTATTTTATGTGTACACGTGAGTGCCTACATATATGTATGTGAACTATGTGTATGCCTGATGCTCATCAAGACCAGAAAGGGAATTGAATTCACTGTAACTGGAGTTACAGGCAGCTATGAGCTACATGTGGGTACTAGGAACCAAACCTGGGTCCCCTGAAAGGAAAGCAACTACTTTTAACTGCTGAGCCATCTCTCCAGCCCCAATTAGTGTTTATTAAAAATGTATTTTTATGGTCTTGTGAAGTAGCTTAATGGTAAAGTGCTTGCCTAGTGTGCTCAAGGCCCTGGGTTCCATTCCAGCACTGCAAAAGAAAAAATACATTTAAAATAAACTTGATCATTTTCAATAAGTTCAATAAGTTGATCATTTTCAACTATATACTGACATAGCATTAAAGAATGTTTACAATGTTGTGAAACATGAATGCTTCAGCCACAAAACTATGTCTGTAAAACTTTCATCATAAACTCATTCAAATATCAATATTATCTACCCATTTTCACAGTAAAACAGAATTTAAAATGCCCCTCTTTCCTCCTCCACCTGGCCTACCCTCTAAAGTACAAAATAATCTCTATGAACGCTATACGTACATCCTCCACCCAACCTGTGTCTTTTCTATCATGTTAGTAAGCAATTAGGAAAATGGTCAATAGCTCTATGACTTTCAAGTAAGAAACTTTCTGCCTGACCCTGTTTTCATGGTGCATTTCTGAAATCTAGCCAGTAGCAACAAAAAAGGCTACCCTTCCTTCTATTTCACCATCTGCAACATGAATCCTTCCTTTAGCCCTAACCTGAGACCTAGACACTGGGAAGCTATGTTTATTAACACTACATAGAAAGTTTCCAAAATGAAAACTATGCTGTCCACTTAGGGCAAGACCTTAAAAACAATATAGCATAAGTCAGCTCAGATTAATTCCTTAATGTGAAAACTATTGCTTTTAATATATTAAGTCTATCTTATATTTTAATTTTTACATTTACTTTTCAAAATACAGCAAATGCAAATACTTTGGTGTTATCTCACATGTCTTCCAACCACTCCTTAGTCTGAAGCTCTATTGAGAACGTAAAGTACCAGAAACACAAATTCAAAGGGAAGGCTATGACTGTTCTAAGCCGAAGTCTAGATTTGAGTCTAATTTGACAGTTCAGTCAAAAGAGTGTAAGACCCATTTACAACATGAAAAAGGCATCTTTAGCTATATATTTAATGCTAGTAAGCAACACAGAGAAAGGTCACTGTAAAACAGGACCTGGGGAATGCACAACGGAGGATGAACCTGACCCTAAATGAGAGAAAAGCAGCTGCAGGACAAGCACACAAGGTTTTCTCCTCACCATCTGATGCATATCGCCACCAGAGCAGCATGAAAGGAAGAGAAAGGCACAGTTGACTTTAACAACACAAACATAACTTCTAAAACTTCTAAAATATGTGCAGTTCCTCTATTTCAACAGAATCATATGCACAATAGCCTCCTTAGCAAGGCAAGTCATACATATATTTATTCATGATTGAGAAACCCAGGGAAAGAGTGACAGGACAAACCACAGCTGTGCAGAGTACAATGCAAAATATCATACGAATTGCACACACCTTTCATCCTTCTAATTAAACAATTATATTCATAAATAAAACTTGCATGGGTTTGAGTAAGTAAGCACCAGTTAAAGATGTAGCCTGTAAAAATAAATCAGAGAATAAGGTGAATTAAAAGTTCACCTGGGTGATAGTCAATGTTCTAGAGCTTGTCTAGCATGCACAAGGCCCTGGGTACCCAGCACCAAAAAAAAAAAAAAAAGGGAGGAAGAAAAAACAGTTAACCCACTAGGCCCAGTGGCACAGGCTTACCATCTGCTGTTACCCAGAAGGCTGAGAAAGGAGGATTGAAAGTTCAAGGCCAACACTAGCAACTTAGTAAGACCCTGCTCAAAATAAAAAGTAAAGATAGGGGTACAGGGTCTAGGGATGTAATTCACCAGTAGAGCACTTTCTTGAAGAGAATCAGTTAAAAAATCATAAAATAGGGGCTAGAGAGATGGCTCAGTGGCTAAAAGCATTGGCTGTTCTTTCAACAGACTAAAGTTTGGTTCCCAGCGACCACAAGGTGACTCACAACTGTCTATAACTCCAGCTCCAAAGGCTCTGACATACTTTTCTGGCTTCTTCAGACACTGTACACGTGTGGTGCACAGACATATATGCAGTCAAAATGCCCACACACATAAAACATAAAATAATCTTGTATATGCACACATATAAAAACAAATTATATTCTATATTTTTGCATGAATCAATAATGAAAAGACAGCTTAAACTTAATATATTTTATAAAAAAAGCAATAAAACTTATATGACCCATTGGTGTCAGTTCTCATATGTATTCATGAAAGTATAAATATGACAGAAGTAAAAAAAAAAAAAAAAAAATACACACTGTTTCATCTAAAGAATGCCTGATACTCTTATGAAGACACACAAAGAATCCCTGGCCAAATTCAACCTAATTGTCTATAGGCTTCATAGACTCTATGAAATCAGAGAAGGGCAAAGCTGTAGGGCAGACAACTCTGTTGAGAGGATGCTCCTTTACACAATAGTAAATGATTATTTTAAAATCAGTTCCCTTAAATTAACATTGTTTACCTATTAAAAATATATTAGGTACTCACCACTCCACTACAAGACTTGGTTCTCAGATCTATTTTGACCATGCCAAACCCTAGAAAACATTAAAAAACAAAATAACATACAAAATTTAACTTTTGTTCCAGTTTTTCAACTTAAAAAATATGAAGGCAATATATTATACATCCTATATGGAAAATACATGGTATTCTCATCAGATAATGAAAGTGTAATTCTAAAGGCCCTAAAATGAATAAACTCATATCTTTAAAATGTATATGTATAAATGTATAAAAATGAATAAACTCATACCTTTTTTAAAAAGGCACTATTTTAAAAACTAAAATTACTCAAAAATCTATGCTGTTGTATGTGTATATGTATGTGCACATGTATTTTTATATCTGTGTAGTTTATGTCTGCAAGGTAAAAATATCATGAACATTAGTAAGAAAAAAAATCAATGTATACAGCACAGAAAAATTAAAAACTTAAAATTTTAAAACCTAAAACATTTTCTACTTGTAGAAAAGACAATATATTGTTACCAAAGTAATAAAACCATGACATTTGCATTTTCATAAAAAATTGCTATATGAAAAAGCACTAAACAGGCCAGGAATGGTAGTCACCTTTAATCCCAGCATTAAGGAGGCAAAGCCATGTGGATCTCTGTGTATTCCAGGCCAGCCTGGTCTACACAGCAAGTTCCAAGCTAGCCATGGCTATGTAGTGAGACTCTGTCTCAAGAAAAAGAAAAGGAAAAACAACAAAAAAAATTATACAGAGAAGCAATAAGCAATTCAATCATACACAGAACTAGTGAAATGAGGCATACATATTATAGGCAGATGCTACTTCATATTGTAGGTATTAGATATGTTTATATATGTATAGTAACTATTCTTAATGTTTGTAAAGTAACCTAAAGAATAAAATAACAGGCTATTAATAGCTCTTAAAATTTGTGATGTAGATTAATAGTCACTTACTCTTATTTTACTAACAGAGTATCTTATACTTTACCAACTAAGCTATTCCCCAGCCTACAAAGCAAAATTTTAAGGATCTGGAAAAACATGCTACTAGGGAACTGGGATCAATATGTAAAATAAGAAAAAATAATAACAATTAAAAAAATGCTACTAAATCCTCAGAATTCATCACTAACCCTGACCCAACATAAAAATTTACCATTGCATACTTACCATACCCTTTGTTAAAGACATCCTTGGCAGCCTTTCCTAGGTCACAATAAGTTGGTGTGTTACACATATCTTGAAGATAAAGACAAAAGATAAACCATTTAGTATGTTCTCTTCTAGCTCTTCCTTTCTTCATCCTGAGAAGCCTTTCCTTCCTTTGCATCACTAACACTATACTCTAATGTCCCCAAAACTCAAAGAAGATATTCTGTTCCTCAAACTAGAAAATAAGAGTTTCCTCATGAGATCTAATTTCTCTGTAATTGTATTTCAAAGAAAAAGTTCTCACAGGTTTTGTTAAACTGTTTTATCTTTTGTGTGTGTATTTGTGTGGTAGGTATGCATTTGTGCAGGCCTATGTGCATGTGTCTGTTCTTCAGGTGCCATTTGTGACTATTTTTGGGGGGGAGGGTCTATCACTGGTCTTAACTGAGCTAGCTAGACAAAACCCCAAGGTCCTCTCTAGCCTGTCTCTACCTCCCCAAGGCTGGATTACAAGTACATATCACTATGCTTGGCCTTTACAAATGGGTTTTGGAAATCAAACTCAGATCCTCATGATTATGTAGCTAGTCCCCAGACCACAAAGGAAAAGTTTTAAGGAGTCCTCAGGGTTGAAGTGTAAGGGCCTAGGTTCAATCCCAATTACACACCCACAGAAAAAAAGTATACCAGTACATGCCTGTAATCTCAGCCCAACTATTGAAGCAGAATGGTACAAGCTCAAGGACAGTTTAAGAAACTTATGGAAACTCTGTGTCCAAAAAAGGGGGTGGGGATTAGAAACCTTCAAGGTTTTAATAGTTTGCTACTCTAAAATTTTGTTCCCAAAGACCTGATGGCTCAAGCCTGCAAACCAGCTGCTTAGTTGGCTGAAGCAGAAAGATCACAGGTTTAGGTCCTTTGGGGACCACAGAATGAGTTCAAGGCTGGCCTGGGCAACTTAGTGAGTCTCTTACTCAAAGCAAGAATAAAATTAAAAAGAGAACTGGAAACATCAGTAATATAGATCATTTGCCTAGCACAGAGGCAGCCAGGTTCAATCCTGGTTACTACAGCCACACCAAAAAGGCTTCATTGGAACCAGAGAGATAACTCAACAGTTAACACTAGCTGCTCTTCCAAAGACCACAGGCTCAATTCAGAGCATTCACATGGCATCTCACACCATGTTTAATTTCAGTTCCAGGAGAGATGGTGCCCTTTTCTGGCTTCTACAGGCACTGCACACATGTGGTACACAGACATGAGTGTAGGCAAAATATCCATATACATAAAATCCTAAAAAAGTAAAAGTAATTTCTTAAATGCTTTGAAGCTGGGTGTGGTGGTACATGCCTTTAATCTCAGCTCTCAGGGGGTAGAGGAAAGCAGTGAGTTAGAGGCCAGCCTTGTCTACATAAAGGGTCCCAGTCCAATAAGAGCAAAATAGTGAAACACTGTCTCAGAACAAAATTTAAAAATAAAATAAAAAGGCTTCAAGAGACTGAACCATCTCAACAGACTAGAACAGGAGGACTTCAAATCCAAAGTCAGTCTGGGTTATAAGATCCTATCTCAAAACCAACAAACCAACCAAACAAACAAAAAACACTACTAAGGCAGAGTGGTGGTTCAGCAGTAAAAAGCACCTGTCAAGCAGCCTGTAACCACCCACAACTCCAGCTCTAGGGGATCCTACACCCTCTCCTGGCTTCTTGCAAGCATCTGCACACACTTGACATACACATACAAACACACACTATAAATAAAAATATTTTTAAACCTACTAAATTAAATAGACTCTTCCAGAATATAGTGTTTTCCAAAGCTTTTTAACCACTAACTAGAAATAGAATGGAGTCTATCTGTGGTAACCTGTTTACCAAAAATAGGTATGAACTTTGAAATTAAAACCTTTGAAAATCCAAAGAGCTTTGACTTTCTATCTAGCCTACTCATTATTCACCCAGCTTTTGTAAAAAGCCCAGTAAGACCCTCATATTGAAATCTCAGTACACATACCCTCCCTCAGACCTCTGCATAGCACATCCCTGAAGCAATTTGTCATTAGAAGTCAAATCTAAGCAATCATGGAACCACCTCAAACAATGCTATTAGCAGGACTTTATGATACCAGAAAATTCCAGAATATCAGTCAGTTTCCAGGCATGTTCTACCTGGGGGCCACATGCAGGCAAGGCTAGAAATGTGGCCCACTACCTACAATAAAGTAAACATTAAAACATGAGATTTGGGGCTGGTGAGATGGAGTTAAGGCACTAAAAGCCAAGACTCATGACCTGGGTTCTGTCCCTCACACCCACAGGGTGGGAAGAGAGAACCAACTCCCACAAGCTGTTTTCTGACCTCCACAATCAGGCAGTGGTGTGCACTATCTACACATATACAAATACACTAGTTCTCTAACTTGGGGCTGGTAAGATGGCTCAACAAGTAAAGTTATTTGCCACCAAGCCTAACAACCTGATTCAAATACCAGAACACACATGGTAGATAGAGACAACACCCCCAAGTCACACATGGACAGAAGCAAAAGCATACAGAAGAGTGCTCATGTGCACACACACATACACACACATACACGGATGGATACATGGATGGATGGATACATGGATAGATGGATGGATAGATGGATAAAATAAATAGGCTGGACACAACTTCAACTCCAGTACTCAGAAGGCAGAGGCAAACACAATCTCTTAAGTCTGAAGCAAGGCTGGGGTGCTACACAGTGAGACCCTGTATCCATAAAAGCTTTTTGTTGTTGTTGTTGTTTGGTTTTGATTTGTTTGTAAGTTGACTGCATGATTCTTGAGCATGACCTTTATAGATGACAAAGTTGTTGAGCATGAATTTTGTGCCACAATGTCAACAGGTTGAACCCATCTGCAAATTACAATTACTACACCTGAACTATGAACACTTCACAAATCCTTTAACTAAATAATCTATGTATTTATACTAAGCCCAACTCTTAATCTGAATTCCTGCAGGCTTTTATTATAACTGAACAGGGCCTTCGTTTATTTATAGCCTGGGCTGGGATTACAAGTTGTGTGCCACTATATTCAGCATGACTCATTTCCTAACTGGGAATTCATTTAAAAACTGTACCTGTCAAATATTCACACTATGACATAAAGTTAAGAGGAAAGAACACACCAAAATATCATATATAAAGTCAGGGCAGGCGAGATGGCTCAGTTGGCAAATTGTGTGTCACACAAGCATGAGGAACTGAGTATGAGTCCCCAGGACCCATACAGCATTGGATTAGAGACAAAGCAAAGACAAGAGGAGCCCTGGAGCTCACTGGTTATCCAGCCTAGCAAAATAGATGAACTCTCGATTCAGGGAAAAGACCCTTTCTCAAAAAAATAAAAGAGCAATTAAGGAGGGTACCCAACATTAACCACTGGACTCCACATGCACATGTGTGCACACAACATGTACATACACCACATAAACAAGCCTACACATACCCTAAAGAAAAATTATAAGGAGAAAAGGGTGTGGCATATAGCTAAAACACTTGTCTTACACAGATAAAGCCAGGGTTTCTATCAGAGGCACCAACCAAAAGGAAAAGTTAGAATGTCAAGGTAAGTGAGTAGTGTTGATGTTGTGCATCAATCTATAATAAAACTGTACTCTATGCTACAGGGTTTAGAGTCAACTAACAGGGTAATTTTACAATTCCGGTAGTGATGTAAATTGTCATAATTCTGGGAAGGAGATACAGAAATGCAGGTCCTACACGTTCAGACAGAATGTTTAAAGTTTTAGGTTTTCATACTGACTCGGAGAAACTACACCAACGTGGGTCAAAATTATAAGCTTTTAGCGTTTTGATTGACTGTTTCTCAAAATCATCACTTTGCAAAAGTCAAGACTGGTTTATGCCCAAACTGTCCTTTATTCAGGCCCACGATTCTGAAGGGAAATGCACTGCTGGTATGAACAAGCAAAAACTGGAGAAAACACAGAGACTCCATATTACTCCAGAGTAAAGATACAACCTCACATTTCTATCAGCTCTACTGACCAGCTCTGCACCATGCCCCAGGACTGCATTGGACCCGGAGAGGAAAACAAAAGGCACTAACTGGATACTACAGCTTCTCTTTTGTTCCTTGTCTCTGCTTTTTACGATGCATGTAGAGTATCCTCACTTCGTCAAGAGTGCAAGCCACGTCTGACAGATGCTGGACACGTCCGAGAGGGAGGTGAGGGCAAGGTGGGGTGTAGGTAGGTTTGGGGTTCCAGAACTCGTACTCTCTAGAAACCGCCCTTCTTCCAGCCCTGGCCCCGGGCAGAACGCCAGTGCGCACGCCGGGCGCGGCGGAAGGTCGCGGCCCAGGGAGGCGACTCCCGCCCTCAGGCGGCCAGCAAGCTTCGGGCAGCCGGAGTCTCCCCGCCCCGCCTCGCCCTAGGCCGGCGCCCCTCAGCTTCCCCCCGGCGGCCTCGGCTCGTCAGGCCCGCCGGCCCTCCGCCCACCCGGCCCATGGCCGCGGCCGCCTCACCTACAACCCGAGGGTGGGCCCGGCCCGCTCCACCAAGGCAACGCTGAAGGTCTTCTCGCACCAACGCCGTCCGCGCCTGCGCGACCTCGCTGCCCGCCGCGCCTGCGCGCCCGCCGGCCCCAGAGCGCGAGTGCGCGCGCGCGGTGCCGCGACTCAGGCCCGGCGCGCAAGGGACTGCGGGGGACGCGGCCGCCAACTGTCCGGCTGCGCGTGCGCATGTGCGCGCGCGTCGCAGGAGGTGCCTCTCCCTCCCCACCCCCCCACCAGCGGGCGGGTGACCCGCGGGGGTTGAGGAAAGGGACAAAAAACCTTAGAGGGCCTTATGTCCGCCCGGAGGCGGAGGCTCTCGCGAGATGTGCCGTAGCCATGGCTACTGTTGCCTTGAAGGGGCGCGGGCAGTGCACGAGCAGAGGACCGGAGGTGGCGCCTGCAGGCGCGTGCCACCAGCTAGGATGTCACCGAGCCACTCCTAGGCCCCTCCGTCCTCTGGAGGATGACTTGCAGGTCTTTATGGGGACGGCGACGCAGGTCGACTGTCTTCTCAGTTGTCAGGGTGAGAAAACATAGGCCCCGGGGGATAAGCGACCCGGAGAATCGAGAGCATGCAGTGTAATTTAGAGGGAGAGGAAGTGGAGGACAGAGAGGTCATCTTCAGAAGAGAACCCGAGAAATCAATGAAAGAGAAATTATGCAAGCAGAAAACCACCACTTTGGAGCCGCCTTAATAACAATTGATTCCTTAGGAAATGGTTTCTAAGAGTCACTCCACGGATTACTTACTGAAATGGAAGAGGCCTTCGCAGCTGGAAAAATCGCCTTAACCGAGTGATTAAAGCTAATATCACTGAGTGATAGATTGACTTATTGTGCCCTGTGGTGCACAGAAAGGGACACAAGACAGTGTTCTTGACAAAGCATGTATTTGTCTCTATTAAAGAGGAAGAAATCCAGAATTGGAGGACAGACATCCTGCAAATCAAATATTCAGTCTTTTCGAAAAGGTCAGTGTCATGAAAGACACTGAACAGTCAGTCATCAGATATAAGAAAAAAAGAAAAAAGAAAGATTTAATGCTAAACGTTTTTGTGATTCTAAATTGGACTGTGAATAAAATGAAATAGTTGTTGAGGAACACTACCAAAGCAACTGGGGAGAACTGAGTATAGACTACCTAGCACTGCAGCAACATAAAATCTTCTCAGGGTCATGTGCCTCGGTTATGTAGAAGTGACCTTTTTGAAGATATTTGTTGACATGTATCTAACACTAACGTTTTTATTGAAAATATTTTTTACACAATATATCCTGATCATGGTTTTCCCGCCCCCCCCCCACACACACACACATAAAAGCAAGTGTAGGGAAGCCAGATTTGGATCCCATTGCAGCCAGAGTTGCAGGCAGTTGTTAGCCACCTGTCCTGCTGGGAGTCAAACTTGAGTCCTCTAGAAAAACAGTTGGTGCTCTTAACTGCTGAACCATCTACACAGCCCTATGTGGTAATTTCATGGCAAAAACAGTTTTCAATGTAGCACCTGACTGACACAACATATAAGCTTCATCTTAAACCACTTGATAATAAGGTACTATAATTCCATTTACACAAAGGACAGTTTAAGTGGAACAAAGTGACATATTCTCCAGCTGGAGTAAACTGAAACTGGTCCCTGTGGTTTTCAAGCAACTTAGTAAGACTAGGGATGAACTTAGTTCGCAGTATAGTGTGGTGTAGAGGAAAGAATAAACTTTGAAAACTAATGTTCAAATCTTAGTTGACAAGCTTTGATCTTGGGTAAATGACTTGACCTCCCCTGCCTCATTGCTTTCATTCCCTGAAATGAAGATGCCCAGAAGTAAACTCCTGCTCAAATAAGCCAGCTTCCAAGAGAGACTTCAGCCATGGACAGCTTTCTTTGGCTTGAGTCTTGGGGAGGCTTGGACTAGCATATCCTGGGCACAAGCCTTGGACCAGGCATCAGCATCACACCGACTTTCCCAAACCTACTACACAGGCAGTCGAATTCCAAGAAAAAGACTAGTAATTAGATGTTACTCAGCTCCATCCCAGGTGAAGATGGAAATACTTTCTGCTGTATACTGTCATCTCCAGCCTGAAAAAGGCCCATCCCACCAGACTAGAACTCAAGAAGCTGTTTATGAAAACAAAGCCCCTCCTTTCTGAATCTTAACATCCCGAAAAACATCCTGAAGACAACATCCTAAAAAATGTCTTGAAGATAAAGTTGTTGAAACCTGTGACTGGCTTGAGAGAGAGAGTTAAAAGTCTTCCTCAAACAGATTAAAAAATGATGTCTTCTTAAAGTTGTAAATGTTTGTTTTGTTTGTTTCTTTCAGGCAGACATTTTTGGTATAATACTCACTATTTTTCTTTTAATTCATTCCAGCTGTTGTGTTTTGCCATCATACATCTGTGTTCCTATCAGTAGGCATTTCTTATGTGTGGGTTCTCATGCTTAAACTAAGATGATGAAGACAATGACCTCACAAGTCCTGATGAGCCTTGGTGTACCAGCAGCAGTACCATGTGCCGTTTTCAAAGGACAGTGTTGTGTATGTATGTATATACCTGGCAATTCAGGTAATATGTCCTTAGCCTTCCAAGATCATTCCACATTGATTTTTGTATATAAAACGCAAATGGAACCTGGACCTGGTACTGAGGCCTTTCTGGAACTATCCTGGCTTTGACCTACCAATGACATCAGCTCTCTTCCACTGTAGTCAGTGTAAGACTGCTTATTCCAGAAAGATTCCTACAACACCTGCCAGAAGATAATGAAGAATTGAACATAATAGCGCCTGCTTACGTTTTTCTCCCTGCCAGCTACAAACTTGCAGTTTTCACAGAAACTCCCTTTAGAGTAAAATGTCATGTTCCAACCCCCTTGTGCAATCCTACAATCACACCCCAAACCACTCCAGAGTCAATTTATAATCTCATTTACCAAGAGAACGTAATTTAGATTTAAGAGCCACCAAAATGGTATACATGGCTAATGTTGAGACACTGAGCTACAACTGTAGGGGGCCACACCCCTGCTCTCGGGTATGGGCTTTTTCTTTCCCTGAGTATTTTGCTCTAAATTTTTTTAAAATGTGGGTGAGATGGAAAGTGGGTAACACTTGCTGAACACATTTAGCCATCTGTCCTAGATCACCACGTGCTGGTTAGTTTGTGCCACCTTGACACAAATTAGAGTCACAAGGGAGGAAGAAACTAACTGAGGGATTGCCTGTGTGTTATTTTCTTGATTATTGACTGATGTAAGTGGTCCGAGGCCACTGCAATGGCGCCACTCCTGGACAGGTGATCCTGGGAATTATAAGAAAGACAACCGAGTGAGCTGTAAGCAGTAAGCAGTGCCCCTCCATGACCCTGCTTCAGCTCCTGCCTCCAGGTTCCCACTTAAGTTCCTTCCAGGACTTTCTTCAGTGACGGACTGTGATGTCTTCCTTCCCAAGTTGGTCAGTGTTTTATCACATCAACAGAAATCAAACTAGAGTGCCCATAAAGGTGGAAGGTGAGGGTTAACTTCACAAAATTGTCCTCTCATCTCTACATACATGTGGTAGCATGTGTGTCTCTCTATAACTGGGCTTTCATTGGGACCACCAGCTCCCAAATAATGACAGGGAGACTTTTTATGTATGAAAGCTTGACCTAAGCTTAGGCTTATTCCCAACTAGCTTTTTATAGCTTAAATTAACTATTTTACGTTGGTCTACATTCTGACACATAGCTTACTACCTCTTCTCCACACTCTACATCCCACTTCCCCCAAGTTTGACTGGTGAAATCTCTTGCACCTCAGATTCTTTCCCAGAGTTCCTCTCCCCCCCAAGAAGTCCTGGCAATTCTCCCCTGCCTAGTTATTGGCCATTCAGCTCTTTATTAAACCAATCAGAAGGTGCCTTAGGCAGATGAGGTAAAACAGAAACAGCTTCACACAGTGTGATCAAATATCCCACACATGTGCCCCTACACAGATAACATGCATACACACACACACACACACACACACACACACACACACACACACACACTACCACCACCACAACCAACAACAGCAATAAATCTGAACAAATTTTTGAGATGCTAGGACATAACCCCCAGAACAGAGAAGATTCAGAAAGGATCCTGGGTACATCTAGCCTGAGTGCCTCTGCCTGTATGTCTCTTAGTTGCTTTAAACTGGCTCTAAGGGGTTGTATTGGCATTAACTCCATGGTGCCTGCCATATAACACCTTACCCTATGTGTGGGGGATCAGATCAGACTAACCATTAGAGACAGGAGAAGTTATGGAACGTGGGCAGGGGGAGGCACTCGTCACCCAGATGAAACCTCTCTGCAGCTGAGAACAAGAGTTCCAGCAAACTGCTAATATACATCCAAGTCTCTCATGCTAGGACAGCAATGAACCAGGCTGAAGGCCTGTCTGTATGTCTGTATATGGTGACGTTCAGTAGGGTCCCACTGCTCTCAGATACTTTTTCTGGTAATCTCACAAACCAGATTATTATTTTTACAGTGGAGATTTTCTGTCTTTCATCTCAGTGATCTAGCATCTTACTTCTCACTTGTAATGCTGTCAAGTATGGTATCTTTGTAACCCTTTGATAATGGCTTCAAAACCCACCAACATGGAATGTAGATAATTGCAACAAACTGCACCCCTTTGATGCACTCATGCTCTGGGATGAGTCTTCCTTTCTTTCCAAGCACACTTTTCTCTAAACCCCTGTGCTTAGAAGGATGATCTGCTCTTGCAAAGGACTTAGATTCAGGTCCCAACACCCTCAAGCTGACTGGCAACCATCTGTAACTTCATTTCCAAAAGATCTGATGTTCCATTCTGGCCTCCACCAGCACTACATGTATACAGTCTACAGATAATTTACATGCAAACGTCCATAAATATAAAATAAATAACATTTTTTTAAGAGAGAGAGAGACTTGTGTCCTTCCCTTTCCCTATCAAACTACTGATATAAGGGGGACCCAGAAATTTGGAATTTCCCCAGCAATATCATAATGGAGGAGTTTGAAAAAGGCTGAACCCTGGTGCAGAAGATCAAAGGTCTTCTACTTTGTATTAAAAACCACATCTATAAAAATACAGACTTTCTGGTTAAGTATTTCTAA